GGAAGGAGACAAAGAGCTGTCACCGGCCGCACAGCCATGTTCCGCGGCTGTGCTCCTGAAGGCCTCGCCGCCCTCGTTTGCTTTCTCCAGCCGAGGCCGGTAGCAGATGGTGGGAGAAACGAGGCAACAGAAGGAGCCTTGGAAAACTGGATTTTGGGAACTGGTAGTTCAAGACTGCGCCTAGACCGGTCTATTTACCAGCAGTTGCTGGACCTCCTGATTTAAACATCTCTACAGTTCAGAGTTTCTCCTCCGCAGTACCCTGTGGCACCAAGTTTCAGAATTCTATTACGCTGCCTCTGTTGAGGGGATGAAAATTGACGTAGTTAATATTAATTCTGAACCTTATACCCAGAAACAAGGACTAGCATGTGCCATAAAGGATTTTTAATCATCTAGCAACCACTCCAGTAGAGCAGTCATAACAGCAAACTAGGGTGCAATGTCGTTGGCCCTTTATTCAGTTGCCCGCTCACAGTGTTGTGCGTAGGTTGTAGATATATTCATAAAGGCTAATCGTATGCATTTTTTTAAAAAAAAAAACTTTAGCAGCCTTTGATGATGCAGTGGAAGAACGTGTGATCAATGAAGAGTATAAAATATGGAAAAAGAATACTCCCTTCTTATATGATTTGGTAATGACCCATGCTCTGGAATGGCCCAGCTTGACCGCTCAGTGGCTTCCTGATGTAACGAGGTAAACGGATCCTTTTGCTTTTTTTCTTAAGGCAGAATAAATAGGAAATCTAGGATCGCTTTTTGTAAGCAAGACAGTGTGTGATTCCTTTCTCTTAAGCACTTTTTGTACCTTTGCCTTGCCAACAGCAAGTTGAGGACTATGAACAATAGAGAGATAGTCAGTACAGGCATTTTTAATTTGGGAGGGTGTCTTATATTACTGAGAAGATATATTCACACATTTGACTTCCATGTTTTTCTACCTCCAGCTTCACCCTCCCCTTTAATAAACAAATGTCTACTCAAAAACGGAACTAGATGTAATTTCTGTATAACCACCATTTTGTCCTAAGCTTCCATAACAATGTTCTGCTTGCAGTGACTATTCATGCCCCTCAGAGTTATACTCGGGAGGAGCTGATAAGGTCTCTTAAAGGGAGGCAGGGGAATGGTGATCCGTCAGAGTGTTGTGCTGCAAGAATTTTGAGTTGAGATCTTGAGTTATGATAAGTGATTTCCTCTGGAGGAAGCGAGTTTGGTGTTGGAGCAGGAAAGCAACAATAACTTTAAAGAGTGCACTTAGTGTTAAAAGCCGTCATCAAAAAATGTTTTAATCAGATCAGTATTTGTTTAAAACCCTTTTTTTTTAAAACCCTTTTTTTTTTTTTTTTTTTTCCTCATGTAACTCTCTTCCCTTGCAGACCTGAAGGCAAAGATTTCAGTATTCACCGGTTAGTCCTGGGGACCCATACTTCAGATGAACAAAACCATCTTGTGATAGCTAGTGTGCAGTTGCCTAACGACGATGCACAGTTTGATGCTTCGCACTATGATAGCGAGAAAGGAGGTAAGGGACCAAAGATGTGGATGGGGAGGGGTTTTAACCATTTTTTTCCTTCCCTTCTCAATAGAATATTTGTCTTTCCTTGAAGTTCAGGCAGCAAAGTTCAGATACGACTTCTAAACTAATCAATTTATTTCTGAGTGCTACCCTTACTAAATAGACAAATACTATATTTTTTGAATGTACGTAATGTTTTAATAATACAATGATGGAACAAAGGTGGCAGCCTTGTTGCAAAAGTATGTGTATGTGTAAAAATCTCACTCCTCCCTATTTCTCATCAGGAATTGACATTGAATGTCATGGATTAATGTTTATTAGTATTTTTATTGCCACTTTTGCATTCCATAAACTCTTCCAGTGAGAAAGTCACTCATGTAAAAAACAATATTTTCTTTCAGAGGAGTGTAACATTTCAAATATTCTTCTCTTGTCTGAATTCTGCTGCCTGATAGTTGTGCCAGCCTCTCTTGGATAAAAAGATGGTTGTGTTTTGTTCCCTATATCAGACTTGAATTTGATGCTTTCTGTAATCTTAGTTGGCTGCCAGCATTGCTACAAGTTAGACATTTCTCGTTTTGACTTGGTTGAATCAGTCTTTCTACCTGGTGAAAGTCCTTAATGATCCAATGTTTGCTCTTCTTTTCACTGGAAGCCTGGATTGTGCAATTAGTATTTTGATCTTTGGGCTTCTTAGAGTCATTCATGAACACAATGTTGTCTAATAAAGATTTTGTTTATATTCTATTTTAGTATTTCTCAAAAATACACTATTCTTATTTTAAACCAAAGCAAACAAACCCCCTCCTCTTTTTGCCAGAATGGTGCTGTGCAATTTTGTGAAATACTAGGTTGCTGTGCCTTTACTTACAAAGATAGGTGGCTTTAGCAATTTATATCACAGTGCCTTATCTTAAATGTGGTGCAGCAATTTGTTTTTAACCAGAACTTTGCCTATTCTGCAATGCTGATTTTTGTTATATTTGAAAGTGCAGTTACAGCACATCTGTTGCAAATGTACGACACATCATTACAGATAAGAGTTTTAGATATAAATTTGGGGCTTGTGTTGTTAAATTCAAAATATTAAAATTTTGGGGGAAGAAGTGGTCTTTAACTTAGCCTGATATTTTGATGTTACAAATACAGATGTTTAAAACAACATACCGTTTGAAAACGGGATTGTTTGTTACAGTTGTTCTTGTGACTAGCTTTCAAAATACGCGCTTGATAGTATCAGTAATTGAGTCTGGATCTTTGTGTCTTGATCTGAAACTGGCTTGTTATTTAAAACTATAAATTCTTATTTCCAGAGTTTGGAGGCTTTGGGTCAGTTAGTGGAAAAATTGAAATTGAAATCAAGATAAATCACGAGGGAGAAGTGAACAGAGCACGTTACATGCCACAGAACCCATGTATAATCGCTACGAAGACTCCATCCAGTGATGTCCTTGTCTTTGATTACACCAAACACCCTTCTAAACCAGGTATCCGCTTCTTTGTTACGTCTGTGCTTCAGAGATCAGCCAGCCCTTCCTTGAGAAAAGGCTGATGTAGTGAAAAAGAGGTTTAAAAAGTTTTGTGGATTGCGTATCACTTGTGATTTTAGGGGAAAGCAGGTATTTAGTGTAAAAGGTTATTTTAAATTAAGCTTAAACATATGTGTCCATAGAAAGGTAGGCTTTTTTTCCTTTTGCTGTTTTACTGCGTTTTTTGTCATGTGACTGTATGTGTTGGTATTTGGGGTGGTGGGAGGTGGCTTTTTGGAAACAGCATGATTTGCTGGGTAGCTGGGCTGTTGTTCTGGTATCCTGTAAGGATATTAACAGTCATTTACTGATGAACTTGTTAGGATTGTATAGAGTAACTAGTTCTGCCACTTGTGGGGAGAATCAGAAGCGTCTTTCTCTCTTTCAAAGTTCAGCTGGAGATGATGAGAGAAAGAAAAATACCACAGGTACTGTAGCACTAATTTAGAATGGACCACTGCTAGATTATCCAGCCAAAAAAAAAAAAAAAAAAAAAAAAAAAGCGGCTTGGAAAAATCCGCAATGCGCTTTTATTAAGCTAAGAAGACAAACTGCTCTGTATTGTCTCTGCGTTCTGTTTTAATGAGGTGATTTTTCAGTTGGGGAAAATGCTCAAAAAGATAAGAGAGGGATCCTGTTGAAAATGTCAAAGCAGAGTTTAGGAAGGCACAGTAAAACTTAATGCCAGGTATTGCAGGATGTGCTGGAAATGACAGTAGGCACTGGAATTCTTACACTGTCTCTTTACAGACCCTTCTGGAGAGTGTAACCCTGATCTGCGTCTTCGTGGTCACCAGAAGGAAGGTTATGGGCTGTCATGGAACCCAAACCTGAGTGGGCATTTGCTTAGTGCTTCTGATGATCATGTGAGTACTTTAAATATAGCTGGGCTAGAATCTGCACTTTGTGTCCCTTGGCAAAGGTCAAAAATGTTTTGGTTTTGAGGGGGAGGAGGAGGTAGGGGAGCTAAAGAGAATGTCTGTCTAAAGATGCAATTTTTAAAAAAATTTATTTTTTTAAAGACCATTTGCTTGTGGGATATTAGTGCTGTTCCAAAAGAAGGCAAAGTGGTGGATGCAAAGACCATCTTCACAGGGCATACAGCAGTAGTGGAAGATGTATCTTGGCACCTGCTCCATGAATCTCTTTTTGGATCTGTTGCTGATGATCAGAAGCTCATGATGTAAGTGGGGTAATATCTTCAGAAACCGTGTGCTTCTGTCCCTCTCGCTTTCCCGTCTGCTCGTTAGTCCCTCAGTAAAATGGGATATAAAGCCTTGTTTCAATTCCATGTTTTCCCCTTACAGCTGGGATACTCGGTCGAACAACACCTCCAAACCTAGTCATTCGGTGGATGCTCACACAGCTGAAGTCAACTGCCTCTCTTTCAATCCCTATAGTGAGTTTATCCTGGCTACAGGATCAGCTGATAAGGTATCTCTACCTTCAACTTGTTCATGTACTTGTTTAGTTTCTGGTGTGTAAATGTGGATGTAAAAATGCTTTTATGTTGTTTTCCTAGACTGTTGCTCTATGGGACTTGAGGAACCTAAAACTGAAGTTGCACTCCTTTGAATCACATAAAGATGAAATATTTCAGGTATAGCAAAATGTATTTATCTCTTACGCACATTGACTTAGTTCTACTTAGCTGTCTGGAAAAAATGAAGAACATTCTTTGCCACTCTATGTTTTTATTCAATGTACTTGCACGTAAAAACTCATACGTTCTTTTCTCTCATCTGCTTATAATTTTCTGGCTTATTGTTGTGGAACTGTATAGGGGCAGAGCTCCAGTACAGATAAGGGTGTCCAGAAAGCAAAGGGCAGAACGTAACAAGGAAAAGGAAATGGTCGAGAGCTTTAACCACAACAGAAGGGTGAAATGCTAGCAGTGCAGAGTAAATGTAAATTATTCATGGCAGCAGATTGAAGCGGGGAGGCACAATGAAATGGCTGCAGTGTTTTCATCTTCTCAGCTTGGTCCTGTCGGAAGGCCTTAGCTGGCACCCGTTAAAGGGGATTGCCGGAACATCCTGTGACATCAAACAATTGCTAGTTTTTCTTGCGTAAATATAGAATGTTAACATCACTGGTAGCATGTGCTTAGCAGATACAGTACTTCCATCTCCAACTCAGGCCTTAGTCGGAAGAAAAACGTATAGATTTTTTTCATAGAAGGTTTACTAGTTAAGACTGTAGTTACCACTAAATAAAATTACACGTGGAATCTTGAAATGCCAGGTTTGTGTGCAGAATTATGTATTAGAATCATAGAATCATTAAGGTTGGAAAAGACCTCCAAGCTGATGAAGTCCAACCGTCAACCCAACACCACCATGGCTACTAAACCATGTCCCAAAGTGCCACGCCTACATGTTTTTTGAAGACATTCCAGGGATGGTGACTCCACCACCTCTCTGGGCAGCCTGTTCCAATGCTTGACCGCTCTTTCAGTAAATAAATTTTTCCTAATATCCAATCGAAACCTCCCCTGACACAACTTGAGGCCACTTCCTCTCATCTTACCACCTGTTAGTTGGGAGAAGAGCCTGACCCCCCCCTCCCAGCTCCCCGCTCCTGTCAGGCAGTTGTAAGGTGTGATAAGGTCTCCCCTCAGCCTCCTCTTCTCCAGGCTGAACACCCCCGGCTCCCCCAGCCGTTCCTCGTAAGACTTGTTCTTTTCTAATCCTGTGTTCCTACTAAGTGCTATGTTTTGGAGAGATTTATCTCCAGCAGAAGTGGTAAATGTAAGCTTTTGGGCAGTTAAACTTAATTACAGTGATTTTCTTTTCACATGTAAACCGTACCCACTACTTAAGGAATCCATAGTTTATATTTGTGCAATCCCTGTTAAGGCAAGGAGCAGCTGATATCCTTGAGAGCTGTTTGCACTTCATAGCACGTGGTCTGTGTTAGAGGAAAGGTTACATGTGGTACCTTTAGTGCTCGAATGCCTTGTTAGCGTATGAATGTTCACAAACCTACCTCCTGTGTTAGAAAGTTATTATTGGGCATATTCATACTTCAAGTTAATACCAATTTGAATTCTCATAGAGCTTTCATGATACTGAGTGCAGTGGTGTTTGTTGTGAATGTCTGTCACGTTACAGCTTCTTAAAACTAACTTCCATTCTAAATTCCTCCTCGTCTGTAGGTTCAGTGGTCTCCCCATAATGAAACCATATTGGCCTCCAGTGGCACTGACCGCAGGCTAAATGTTTGGGACTTGAGGTAAATTCCAAATTACTCACGTTGTCCTGACAAAATGTTATTGATTAATTGTATCTCACTTCAAAAACCAAACCAACCAACCCCCACCTTTTCGTTTTTTCTCCCTTTATTTTTTTACAGTAAAATTGGAGAGGAGCAATCCCCTGAAGATGCTGAGGACGGTCCCCCAGAGCTGTTGGTAAGTCTTTTGAATCTCATTGATTGTTTTGAGCTATTATTCATCTCTCTGGTGTAGATTTGAAAACGTTCCCCTTTTTGTTTCCCCAATACTAGTTTATCCATGGTGGTCATACTGCGAAGATATCCGATTTCTCCTGGAATCCCAATGAGCCCTGGGTAATTTGTTCTGTATCAGAAGATAATATCATGCAAGTCTGGCAAATGGTAAGTTGTTTGGGAAGGTGCAGGAAGTGGCAGATGAGAGCTGGTGCTGAACTGCCTGGACTTTAGCATTCCTGGGTTTATTTACAGCTCTCGGCATGACTTGCTTTGTAGCACTGCCTAAATCTCAAAGGGGCAGTGAAATCCACTGTAGGTTTGGTCAAAATAATGGTTTACAAATATTCAGAAGCCATTTTGTGTTTCTCGTGATTTTAAAAAAAAAAAGGCTGGTGTAGAAGCAAATTTTTCCCTTCAATGTTTGAATGAAAACAGTGTGTGTGAGAACCAACGATGAAATTGAGGTTGCCGTTAGTTATTGTCTTAAAGAATGAAATCATTGCAAATTATCTAAATGTCCCGAAGATGAAGAAGGGTGGTGGTGAATAGGAAAAGTTTGCTGACCCTAAATTACCAACTGTTGAAGGTTTTGGAAAACAGTCTTGTATTGTTTGAATAACCTTTGACGGGGCCATACTCCTAAGGTTTTTTTTTTTCTTTATCTATAAATTGGTTCACAGGGGCTTTGTTCTTAGCAGCCTTCCATATAGTTCTTTCGGAAGACACTGCTGCTAAGTAGAGGATCTGCTAAATGTATACCCGATAGTCTGTTAATTGAAGTCTTGTGGTGGTCTCTGCTTTAAGTAGGCAGATTTCTGTAAGCTACAGTAACTTACAGGGTACTTACGAAGTGTTTTGGAGATGTGGCAGTTATGAGAAAGGTCGTTTGTGTTGCTGCTTTAATGTTAAATGGCCTTGAGGGATCAGGGGTGGGTAGTGCATATCTGCAGATGAAAAACTGCCAGGGCTTTTTGTTCTAGCAGATGGAATCCTGTTCAGTGTGGTGGTTAAACGCTTCTTCAGTTCCTCCATCTCTGTCTTGCAGGCGGAGAACATATATAATGATGAAGACCCTGAAGGAAGCGTGGATCCAGAAGGTCAAGGATCCTAGATGACAACCTTTTCCTGTTTTTAGTCTTTTTTTTCCTTCTCTTCCCTCTCAACCCTGATATTGACTTAACACTGGTTTTGAGACACACGTAGACTTTGTGTTCAGCCATCCTTCTGTAGATACCACCACCAGGCTTTTTAACCCAGACAGTGAGTATTCCCTAAGACAAGGGCTTAGCCCAACTCAGCTGGTACCGTGCTGTAGCTCCTTGGGTCAGACTTCCTACAGCAACCTCTTGCGTGTAGGGCTGGCTCTCCCGTTTTAGCTGCCTTCATCACATGGAGCAAACTTGGTTTTGTTGTTTCTTTTCTTCTTCTGTCTTTAGCTTGCTACAGCTGTGGGCTTTTTGCCTAATTTAAGTAAAAGTTAAATCGGCAGAGCTGCCGGAGTATGCTTGAGCCAGTGGAGACAATACAAGTGTTAATCCACTGGCAGTTCACAAATGGAGTGTGGAAGGTCTTGTCCTCTTCCGTACAACTCAGAAGTCTTGGGATTCCTTTAGTTAATCTGTACCGTGTGGATTTTTCTGCCTCTGCAGATACAAAACCAGACTTGCAGATTCTGACTTGAACTGAAATTAAATTTCTTTC